TTTTATTCTGTACTTTGATGTGAGAATGCTGCCAAATATGTAAACTACTGTCTGTTTCACAAGTCCTTTCAGATTTCACTCAGAGCATGCCTCAAGCCCGGGCAACTGTACAACAGCCAAGAAAAAAAGCGAGCAAACCAATGGTCCAGCCTTTCTTCCTCAGCCTGGAACCAAGGACTTAAAGCAAGGACACGTTATGCAAGATATCACATTTAATTCCACTGCCAGCTTCTGAGGCCAGATGATACACATTGAGTGTGTCTGTCTCTTGAGCCCTCAATGTTAATCAACACTCTTTTCAATGCATACTTATGAGTTGCAATCTACTCCCCACGTCTTCCCTTTGGCAGCTTAAATTAAGTCACAAATTTGACAGCAAATTAACTTCAACGGGGACAGTAATATGTCACCTATACAGCAATCTGTGTCATTTCCCTCCAGGGTAACACAAATCCTGTGCATCTGAGAGGAAAATTAAATCAAACAAATTATTTTCATGTGCAAGTCAAATTTGAGGGAACAAAATAAAGGAGGCATCATGTGACAGGGCCATCAGCTGTTAACAAACCCCTCTGATGACAAAGCCTTGCATAATCACCGAGCTAACCTTGATCATTGTGATCACAGTGCCTGAGATTTAATGCATGCTGGTATTAGCTGTGACATACAGTCACAATACAGTTGAGGTGGGAGGAACACATGCTCAGACTGTGTGTGTAGAGGGGAGGTGGATGTGGAACCAACAGAGATCCCCCCCCACCCCCCCACCCCCCACTTCATCATTGAGTAAATGGCACCACAGACATAAGCTGCGACTTCACAGCTGCCTCATGGCGGGTGACATTGAAGCCCACGCATGAACACATCGCTCATCAAAGTGAATGAGGCGTTCTTTGCTTCCGCTGCTTGTGCCGAGCAAAACAATGGCAGCCCCTTCCTCGAGTGCACACTTTGCACACCTGGAATGTCTAGAATGAGTGAAGATGGGAATGAAAAAGAAAAAAATCCATTTGGTTTCATGCATCTCTCACAAGAAACTTAACAGACTGTGACCTTCCACTGCTTCATAATGGGAAGGAAATGGCAATGGTTCTGCAATTAATCTGCCTTAAAGCAAACAAGAAGCTTTTGCTTTAACAACATGCACATATTTGAGAGGACAGATTTCTGTGGTATGAAACCCCAGGCCCACCAGGGTTCAGGTTGTAATCAGTCATTAGTGCTCTCATTTCTGAAAAGCTGCAGTGAGATCCACTGCATGTAACTACGAGCAATGTGATCAAAAACAAAAAAGTCAAAACTGATTTGTAGATCCCAGAAGCTAAAGAATAAACCACCATTAAATGTGTCAAAACTCCTCCAAGTCTCTTCACAAAGGCTGTTTGTCTTCACACTAAATCCTAAAGTGTGAGATGAATGCAAGTGAAAAGAGAAAAATTGTGAATGCCCTCTTTTAGTGTATAAACACATCCTCCTAAAAGTTCAGTCACATAGTTTGAACACAAAAGCTCCACTCTTTTCCTTAACTGTCCTCTTTTCTCTAAGTGGTACCAGACATAGGCATTTCTTCATTTAGCCTGTTCAAATGAAAGCAAGTTGCTGTTCTTTATTTATTTAACAAAATGAGCTGCAAAAGCCAAACATTAGGTAATGGAACATTTTCACCCTAAAAAATAAGTCAATGCCTTCCATCAAATCCGGTCTAAGTATTACCCTACAAAATATGAGCTGGTGAAGACCTTTTTTTTTGTGAAGTCAAGTAGTGCTGTGGCTTTTTTAAATACAACTTTCGACAATGTGGTGCACATGCGTTTCCAATTAAGAAGCCTAGCCCCACATCCAAGCCTGGGCCCCATTCACCCCTTCCACAACTGACCAAGTCTGAGGAAATGTTAAACAGCCACTATAACCATAACACAGATGGCAGATTTTTCAAAAGCCTTTACCTTCTAAACAATAATTAAGACATCACAATGAATTGATGATGTAGGCATCGCATGTTGCACAAGATCTAAATAAAGAAAAGAGAACCTACTTAATCATAATTTTTCTGATGCATTCACAGCTAGGACACTTATACAAAGCAATTTGTCCCTTTGGCGAACGGGTACAAAGCCTACTTACAGTGCAAAGAAATAAAATGTGTCAATGGTGTTGATTTTTGAGGATCATAATGAGAATGCTCAGTTTATACGAGGCACTCAGAGCAGGATCTGCTTCTGTGGAAGCAGCAATAACTCCCAATGAGCCTGTCTCTACTTAGACTTCAATCTCTGAGCCCTAAGGAGCTGTTGGAGGACTTTGATGTTCTGTCTAAATGAATTGACTGTGCTTCTTGATAAAGCCCTCCGGTCCACTGACTCCCCCCGCCGATTCTGTCACCTGTGATAAACGCCGTGCGTACTCAGCAGTACCACATTCTGGATCACATGCTCAGAACAGGCACGATTATTCCCTTCAACTTTCTAAACGGCTGAAGAACATATAATGTTGCTTCTCTCGCCGCCCTCTCTGAGCAGAAGCCCTTTGATGTGCGAGGCTGTGTGTGAGCAGGCAGCGCTGGGCTGGTTTTTGTTACCTTACAGCCCTGCAATATCCAGTAGGTGAGCCTTTATGTCAGATGCCCCTTCAGGGCATGGTGTTTGTTAGAGCTTGGGCAAAGGCAACAACCTCCAACTCACTTCTATCGTTGTAGTTTTTTTTTTTCTTAAGAATCAGAGCCAGAGAGCTCTGCATTACAAGTTTGCAACTTCACTGATATGATCCAAACAAAATCTAAGGCTTACTGAGGAGCAGTGGTGCACAGCTAAGGAAGAACAAATGTGTTGACATGCCTAACTTGGGACTTGTCACAGTGTGTGCTTTGAATATGGATAAGCAGTGACAGGAGCCCCATAATGCGTGAAAAAAGTTATGTCCCAGTGCTAAACCTAGCATGGGGGGCGTGTGCAACCGATCAACAACTAGCAAACGTTGCAACCGATGATTTCGATCAAAGAGCAGGGCAGAGACTGTGGTTAGAGGAAAACAATACTTATCCGTCTAAGCTTCAGGTTGGTCAATTCTCATTTGACTAAATCCAATTACCATTGATTGTGCATCTTCTTAAAGCTGAGGTTTAGGTTTTCCTTGATAGTGCAGAAATCTGAACTCAGATGAAGCAGCAGTATTTAACCTATTATAGCCTCCGATGAAGCGAAGGAAGGTACGAGTTCTACTGGTGAAAGCACTGATCCTCCCACACCCTGGGTTTTCCCAGCATGTGCAGTGATTCCTGTGCCAAGCCTCTGAACACGTTTCCCTCTCCTCCAGCGGCAACGGCGCTCTTGAGCAAACCTGCCCTGGATCGAGCATCTCATTTAGTCACTGGGCGCTTTGATGTGGATTCAGTGCTGCAGTGCATATCGCTCATGTTTGAAGGTTCAGCTTCCACAATACAGCGGGGTTTGAAGTTTCACATATTGCAGGTGCTACAATGTGATAATCTGGGAGCCAGTTATGCATTATACATTTTTCATAAAAGAACACCATCACCTGAAAGTGAAATGTGGAGAAGTCAACGCTTCAAAGTATATATTGACAGAAACAGTTTCTGAGACTACTGGGTGTGGGACAAAAACACTCTTGTTATCCTGAGCATTTCAGAATCAGCACTACATCTTCCCCCCTGAAGGGGTAAATATCTAAATAAACAGAGTAGAATAGCATTTGACTGGGGCCTGCCATGCCATTACAAGACCAATTTAGTTGACTAAACGCTTCTTACAGGGCACAGAGGCCATGACGGATTTTTCTCCAGCGAGAGCCAGCAATAAAAATCTCCTCCATCTGATTTCGCAAGGGAGATGATACGCACCTTGGGGCAGTTCCTTCAATGTCTTCTTAAATAAAACATGAAAAATCCTTGTCAAGGTCTATGTCTTAACCGAGGCAGACCAAACAAAATCCATGGCTTCAGCTAATGCAATGACAAGAAAGGAAAGAAATCTCTGTTGAAAATTTTGCCATTACACTTTTCAAGACTTTCAAGGCTGAAAAGTGATAGCACCACGGTTTTAGAATCCAACAGGCACACACATTAAAAAAAGAAATAAATAAAGGGAGAGTTGTTAGCCAAAGAATAAAATCAAGTCGGCAGCTAATGTGTGCGAGTGACTGAGGTTTATGCAAACGCTTCTGATCTTGATAATTAAGGAGTGTTTGTATGGAGGTGCACAGCTCCGCATCTCTTTTTAAAAGATGTTTACTGTCTCCAAAGCATGGAGATGGTGGTAGCCTGAGGCCCGGAGGCTTTCTCTTCCCTCTCTCTGCATCTATCTTGTACTAAATACACACATATACACTCATATGTGTACTAACACTACACACCATACTGACATGTACAAACAAAAACCCACACACAAGAAAGAATCGGCGCTTTCACAAACATCAGCCTCTCAATTAGCTTGTGCACTCATTTCTCCTTGGAAGAGAATTATTTTTTTAGCTGGATGCTTTTTCTTTGTTTATTGTGAACAAACCAAAGCCTTATCAGCAGCTAATCACTGCATGTCAAATTCACAGACTTGCTGTAGTCACTTTAAAAAAAGCATTCAGTGAATAATCTTCTCAAGTTCAGATTGCCATTTTAGATTTGGACAATCACCAATTTCTTTTAGATGCTCAAATCTGTCTAACAGCCAGGGAGAAGATCAGCATTTGTTTGATATAATTTGTTGTGACATGTTAATTGCATCTACTTGTAATTCTCTCTAATTGATGTTTGATATGAAATTAGGCCAACTAGATAACACTGCAAATATTATGAATCCTCCCCACTTCTCTCTTCCCATGGCAGGTCTGATGAATTCACAGCACCTAAAAGTGTAATGTGTCAGTGTGCTGTGCAGCTACGCGCCGTATTCCTGGGGCTGCCAGGCTGACAAATCTAAGGTTACAAGCATACCACTGTATATTCATAACACATTCATGCACACTGCAGAGGACCAGAGAAGACTGACCTGAGCAATTTTCACTGAGTTCTGGGTCGAACCACCGGCATGGTATTCAACTTTGTTCCTCTTGACAATTTCTTCAAACCTGAAATAAAGACAAATACAAGAGTTGTTTCAAAAGACAAGGTTCAAGATTAACCAAACAGCTTTTAAAAGCTTAAACATGAGGTCCAACCCTGTGTAACATGGGCA